AACTGGAAAATGTGAATATTGTAATATGGAGGAAAATGTAGAGCATGTTATAATGAAGTGTCCAAGATACGGAGAGGAAAGAAAGATACTGATTGATGTCCTCAAGGAAAATAAAGAAAAACTTAATTTGATGAACATTTTGGGGAATAAATCAGGGGATAAAAACTTTCAAAAATTTTTTTATGCGTTATTTAAAGGACACAGGATTATATAATAGAATTTAGTGAAGAGTACGATCCTGATCCTAATCAGTAGGTAGCGGTAATGCACCTAAAAGTTGTATGCCATCCGCCATTAAACACCAAGAAGAAGAAGAAGAAGAAGAAGAAGAAGAAGAAGAAGAAGAAGAAGAAGAAGAAGAAGAAGAAGGCGGAAGTGTCGTCGATGGACTGAATTGATGCTACAGCGTTGTTGGCAGGGCGGCCAGCACGACAGGCAGATTAGTTAACTAACCAAGTTGAACCCAGGCCGAAAATTTGGAAAACGGATTATTACATTTATCGGGAGCTTGTGGCGGTGGGGCACGACTGTTCCGTGAATGGATCAGAAGTAGGTAGGTGGGGGGAAATGGATAATAATGAAGGAAGAGGTGAAGAAAGAGCAGGGTTGGGGAGGGAACAGGAGAGTGATAAATATGATAAAAGAAATAAAAGAGTAAGGAGTGATAGTGTTGATGATTCTGAATTGGAAGAAGAAAACCAGGAGATTTCTCAAGAAGGGAGGAGGGGGATTTATGATGTTGTAATACGGTTTAATGAAAAGAATCAGGGGATTATGAAGAAGGTTAGCCCGTTTGTGCTAACAACAACTCTAGCAAACAAGATAGGGGAGATTGAGTTTGCAAAAATCCTTAATGATGGGAATTTATTGGTAAGATGTGCTGATGGTGGGCAAATGGAAAAAGCCCTAAACATTAAGGATATAGCAAAGTGTAAGGTGGAAAACACAGGAAGGGTGGGAATCAGGAAAAAAGATGGTAGGGTAGGGGTGATTACAGGGGTGCCAATGAGTGTTACAATGGGGGAATTGATGAAGAATATCAAGGGAGCAAAAGTTGTGAATGTCCAAAGGATGAAAACATCAAGAGATGGAGAGGTAAAGGACACAGAGACAGTGTCAATAGAATTTGAGGAAGAAATTCTGCCAAAAAAAGTATACTTAGGATTCATGAGCTATCCAGTGAGGATGTTTATACCAAAACCAATGAGGTGCTATAAATGTCAAAGGTTTGGTCACACTGCAAAGAACTGTAATAGGCAGAGAAGATGTGCTAGGTGTGGAGGGGACCATGATTATGGAAAATGCGGATCAGGGGTGCCACCAAAGACCAATCTAGATTTTGTGATTCACGGGTATACAATAATAAGGAGAGATAGGAATTCTGGAGAGGTGGGAGGAGGGTGTGTTGTATTCATTTAGGCGGGTATATCATATAGATTACTGGGCAAAGGAGATGATCAAGAGTATGGAGGTGTGGAGGTGTGGGAAAGGGGAGGTGCAATTAGTATTATTAATTATTATAACCCATGTAAGAGGTTGGAGCTGGATAAGAGTACCAGAGTACCAGGGCAAGATAGACAAAAAATAATCTGGTGTGCAGATTTTAATGCTTATAGCTCGGTATGGGGAAGTGTACTTACAGATGCTAATGGTAAAGTAATTGAAGAATTGATGGAAGAAAGAGAATTGGTGTGCTTAAATGATGGAAGAGGAACTAGATTAAATGTGTCAACAGGGAAAGAATCTGTATTAGATATAACGTTAGTATCTAGTTTGCTGGCTGGAAATACTAATTGGGAAGTGTTGACAGCAACAACAGTGGGAAGTGATCACTACCCTGTCTTGTGCTCAGTAGGTGGGAAATTGGAGGTAGGAACAGAAGATACCATTTCTAAGTGGAATTTTAGTAAAGCTGATTGGGAAAGGTTTAAGAATTTGAGTGATGATGCAATGGCTGTCAGAGCAATCAGGTGTGTGCAATTCGTGCTGAGTGCAATCAGTGCAATGCATGATGGGAAATGTAGTCCGGGGTGATGTGCAACAGTGTGTAGTGCGAGAGTCAATGAAATTAGAAGTTCATGGACCGGATTCGTGACAATGGGCAACATCTAATGCAGTACAAGAAGGCTCAAGCAATAGTTAGGACAAAAATACGCCAAGCAAAGAGGAGTAGTTGGAGAAATTTCTGTGA